CCACTTCCTATTCTTCCTCTTCCTTCATTTCTTTCTCTACTCCCTACTCCTCCTCCTTCTCCTCTTCCTCTCTGTACTCCCTCTCCACTTCCTACTCTTCCTCTTCCTTCATTTCTTTTTCTACTCATTACTCCTCCTCCTTCTCCTCTTCTTCTCTGTACTCCCTCTCCACTTCCTACTCTTCCTCTATCTAATTTCTTTCTCTACTCATTACTCCTCCTTCTCTTCCTCTCCGTACTCCCTCTCCACGTCCTACTGTTCCTCTTCCTTTATTTCTGTCTCTACTCATTACTCCGGTTACACTTTATTTCGATAGTCCACTTTAGACATTCTACTAACTATAAGTAACTTTGTAACTACATGTCAACTACATGTCAACTAATTCTCATTAATTTGCACCTACATGTCTACTAACTCTCAAAGTAAACTGTTAGGGTAGGTTTAGGGTTAGTAGAATAAGTTGACAAAGAAAGTGTTAGAAGATATTAAGTAGACGGTCTACTAATACTCTACTAACTGCTAGTTGACATGTAGTTGCAAAGTTACCTTCTCCTCTTCCTCTCCATACTCCCTCTCCACCTCCTACTCTTCCTCTTCCTTAATTTCTTTCTCTACTCCCTACTCCTCCTCTTCCTCATCTGTGGTGTCCTTGATCTCTTCCTTCACGTCTCTCTGGATCCATTGTTTCAAACTTGAATACAGTTTTTCTCAGTCGCTTTGGTGCATTTCTCTAATCGTCCTTACTGTAATATTTGCAAAGAAGTGTGTGCATTTCTCAAAACAATTCGTACAAACGGCACCACACAATGGATTTTCGTGCAAAAGCCTGTAACTTACTCAAAATCTTTAGTTCATCTCTCAAAAGTAAGTATTTGTCAATGAACATATCAGTGCCATCAGAATGAAAAGTCCTTGTGTCATTGTTCACACACAAGATAGTCAAAATGCATTAGTCATGTTGTCAATATAACAGTGCACTATGTTAGTATTACCTGATGTAAACTATGGCAACAGTTTGGATGACAGTTACTGTACTGAAATGCAGAAGGCTTCACTTCTTGTGTATGCCATATATCCATTTCAAAAGTACAAATTTACACATTACTGTATGTGGGATATTGATTGAAAGAGACTGGATATGATCCACATTTACACTTTAGTGTGGTCTGACCAAAAAACAAAAACAACAACAACAGACCCGGCTCTGGCATTAAAGGGATAGTTCACCCAAGAATGAAAATTTGATGTTTATCTGCTTACCCCCAGGGCATCCAAGATGTAGGTGACTTTGTTTCTTCAGTAGAACACATTTGATGATTTTTAAGTCCAACCGTTGCAGTCTATCAGTCGTGTAATGCATGGCAATGGTAACAAAATCTATGAGTGTAAAAAAAACATGCACAGACAAATCCAAATTAAACCCTGAAGCTTGTGACGACACATTGATGTCCTAAGACACGAAACGATCGGTTTGTGCCAGAAACCGAACAGTATTTATATAATTTTTTACCTCTAATTCACCACTATGTCCAACTATCTTTGGGCGCGCGCACGGCATCCGGTGCGTGAGGTGTGTACG